GGGCTGTAGGAGAGCGGGCCCTGGAAGGCTGCCTTGTCGATCAGGTGTGTAACTCGGCTCGCCTGTGTCTTAGGAGCACAGCAGCACAGCCACGTGCCCTGGATTGCCTGGGCTTGAGTTTTGGCATGGCCATGTAGCAGGTGACTCAATGAAGTCAGCTGAGCCTGTCGAATGTAGGTTGAGAACAGGACTTCACTAACCCGGCATGGGTCGGGATTTAAGGGGGATGCTTGGGCAGGTGCAGCTCACAACAGGGACCTGGTAACTAAGCCACTGTCCCTGGTAGAAGAGTGAGTGAGTGGGTGGGGGTACTGTACAAGTCTATGGTGAACCCTGCCAGCAACTCGCACCACCTCTCTGAGAAGTCACCCAGCCAGTTTCTCCTCCAGCTCTGGAAAGGTGTCTCCAGATGAGCAAGCTGTCCTGTCCTGGGGGCCATGTTACCCGGGACAAGCCAATGTGGGTTTACCAGACAGTAAACCGGGACATGGAGGAGGCGCAGTGGGTGGCTGGAGGCTCAGTAGATGGGGTCAACCATCACAATAGCTTCCCTCTGGTGCTGATCTCTCCTCCACAAGCCCAGAGCAGGCAGTTTGTGTGTGTGTGTGTGTGTGTGTGTGTGTGTGTGTGTGTGTACGTACGCATTTGGAGCGCTGCAGGAAAAAGTTGCTCCTGTAAAGATCTAAAATCTGAAAACCCAAAGAAATGATTGCACTCGGTGGGCCCTCCAGGGTGGCGGTGACTTGTAATTGACACAGGCATGCCAGCAGTGTTTTGTTGATGGTTATTTCATGTCACTGGAGTGCTTAAACAAAGCACTTCAAACCAGTGACGCGTTGATTAGGCGGCCTAACCAACGTGCCTCAGTTTCTCTATGTGAAATGGTGAGAGTAGTACTTAACCCCACAGTCCAGGCTGAAATGAATGGTTTGACACCCAGAATCGCTGCTGACACGTGGTTAGGAAGCACTGCCAAGAGTTTATTACCAGGCCGGAGAGAAGGCCAGGGAAGCCCAGGAGAGAGACATTCCCAGGTTCTGAACTCCTGGGGTAGAGAGAAAGGCAGAGGGAACAGCAGCTGCCTGGAGCCTGGAGGGCTGCGATGGTTTGCTTTGTGGGGAGACTGCCAGGAGAGGAAGCAAGCTGGGCATTTCACAGTCAGGTTCCAGAATATGTTGCACATGAGGAGTCCCAGGGAGGTACAGACCCAAGGGCAGTTAATTCCATCACAGATCTCCTGCTCCCACCTGCAGATAGAAAGGGGGCCTTTTTTCCTGCTTCTGAACATACATCTTGATGCGTGGAAGCACCCAAGCAGCCCTTCTGTGTGGGGCTTGAGGTTGCTCTAATGTTGACATCTGGCTTAGGGGCAGGTCACAGCACACACAGCAGGAAGGCTGCAGGCTGGGAGGAGCTGCCAACCTTCTGAAGAAAGAAGGCCTGGGGAGGTTAATCATTGGCAGTGCTGGCCAGCAGGGTCTATCAGCCTGTCTAGGTGAGGAAGACTCCCTCTGGCCAGTTATTGACTGAAGTTAGTGAATGCCTGGGGCTTGGAACCCAACCAGTGCCTTGCTTGAGTGAGCAATCCCTCAGATCCAGAGCCCTGCACGCCAGGGAAGCGGGAAGGCTTGTCTCCAATTTTGGCCTGTTCCCAGCTCCTGGCGAAGGCTGCCCAGGTTACTGAATTACACTGGTGTGGCCTGAGGGCAAAATGCTTGGAATTAATGATTACTCTGAGCTTACACTCCAACAGTTTGTGGTCCTCCCTGGGTCCTGTGGACCTGGCAGGCAGGCAGTCTACTGGCCTGATCTTCTGGGTCAGGCTTTGGGGAAAGCAAGGCCTGAGAAGCAGGTAATTAATGGACATGAGCCAGCTATATCCTCCATCCTGTGGGGGACAGGGACACCTCCCCCCCTCCCCCCGGGGGCGGGGTGCTGGTGAGATTCCTTTACCAGAATTCAAGAGGTCCTGAGAACTACATCTGGAGCAACACAGGGGCCCTAACCTCCACGTGTCAGTGTATACCTTTAATCAGAAAGGAACATTCACTTGTGAACCTGCCTGTGCTTCCTGAGATGCAGGTCTCTGCTCTGCAGCTTGACTGGTACCCTAGCATCAGCTCCCCAGGAGGTGAGAGGCTGGTGCCTCCAGTCTAAGGAGGCTGGGCCCTGCACCACATGGAAATCAGCAGGAGTTGCATTGCCTTGCCTGGGGCAGATGGTTCCTGGGCTTGGCTGCTCAACAAGGCTGCCTGAAATCTTTTTTTTAAAAAACAAGCTCTGGCCAGTTTTATTAAAGAAAAATGTTGCAGGATTTATTTTTCACCAGTCTGTGCTGGCATGCTTCTAATATCAGAATCACCTGGGTCAATGATGGCCAGTGTGCATACTTGCCCCATGCCTTGGCCAATTCCATGCGATGACCGCAATAGTGATGGACATGGGTGACATCTTGAGCAGTTGGGAAAGCTCAAGCCAGCCAACCTTTCTGTGAGCAGCCAAGCTCTTAATGAGACCTGGGCCCTCAGGGCTCCTTCACTGGTGTTCAATTAGAATAACAATGACACGTGGAGGTGGGACACTGGATTGATTGCCATGAGTGGGTTTTATGGCTGCAGCGGCTCTCCTTGCATGGACCCCTGTGGACTAGGGAAGTCTTCGGCTGCCCACTGCAAGTCCAGCAGTTAGAAACCACAACGGAGGAGACAGGAGGCTTTCTATTTCAGCAAAGAGGTAGTCTCGGGACCCACCAGGCAGTTCTACCCTGCCTTGTAGGGTCACTATACACTCAGAATCAGGGAGTTGGAACTTTTTTGGGTTTAGCCTTCCCTGCAAAGAGCCTTTGGTGCACGGCTCTGAACTCAAAGGTCAGGCAATGATTTTACAGCTTGAGGAATCTGCCCTCTCCCGGTGGGGCCGCTGTGAGCGAGAAAGGAAGTGGGTTTGGTTTTTAGAGCAGTAGTTCTCAACCTTCCGAATGCCACGACCCTTTATCACGGTTTCTCGTGTTGTGGTGACCCCCCAACCATAACACTATTTTCATTGCTACTTCACTGTCATTTTGCTCCTGTGATGAACCATCATGTAAATATCTGATGGGCGGGATGTATTTTCATTGTTACACATTGAACATCATTAAAGCATAGTGATAAACCACAAGACTATGTCATTATATATTGTGAGATATTCTAATGACAAGTGACATTTTGTCTTGAAGCATAGTGTAGCGTGGGTCATAGTCTTCCCACAGGTACTCATCTGTGGGCGTATCTGCAAGTGGGCGGACCCTCCTGGAGACATAGAGGAGCTGTGTTTTCCCATGGTCTCCAGCAACCCCTGTGAAAGGGTCTCCACCCCTCTCCTGCCCCTCCTGCCCCAGAAGCACAGCTCTCAGCAATGGCAGCTCCATGGGGGATCTAGGGGGCCCACAGCCAGCATAGATGCGCCCCCTCCCCCCACCAGGTCCCAGCTTCCAGAAGTGACTAAGGGTGGGGTGGGGGTTAGGGAGTGTGTGTCCATGTTCAGCATGGACTGTCTGGCAGGGATCTGGAGTCACCGAGCTGAACACCTGCACAGAGCCAGGCAGGGCCAGACAGCCCATCGGGATGGAAAGTGGCAAAGGCCTGGTTCCTAGAAGGGAGGAGTGGGCTGCGAACCCCTCTTTGAAAGGGGATTCAGAGAGGTGGGAATGGGTGTGTGTGTTTGGTGGGGGGACCCTTACACTGTACTGAGGATCTGTCTTTACAAACTGAAGAAGGGGGTGTCTCATTTTCAAGGCTGCTGTGAACTGGCACCCTGGCCTCCCGGAGATACCAGGTAGAGCCTTCGATGCCGCAGAGGTTGAGGGCTTCAAGGTCATGGAGAGCTGGGATTAGAACTCCACCCCACGTCGCACAGAAAAAGCCAGACACCTGGCCTCCTTAAAGATCACATCCCTGGAAACTTGGACACTCATTCACATGAGGTCACTCGAGTTGAAACTCACCTTGCTCATTCAGGGCCCTACTTCTCAGCTCTCTCACCAGGACCTCAGACAATGTGTCTCTGGTCACATCGGTTTTCTTCCCTGGAAAACTGGTGGATGGGTACATGCAGCTGGCCAGCTGAGGGAAGGACAGCCCCCAGTTCCTACCCTCTAGCAGACAGGTTGGGAGCCCCCAGCCCGCCCCCGCGGGGCAGGCAGAGGGCCAGGCCCAAGATCAGCGAAGCCCTGGGCCACTCTCCAGGAGAGGCACTAAGTAGGAGACCTTGTCCCAGAGCGGGTTGATGGATGGACCAGTTCAGGGGCATCCTTTCCAGTCAGTTGCCCCCACCCCCCATCGTCCTTGCCTTGTGCTTCTTCCACCCCTTCCCTTCTGGGCACTGGGGACTGTCAGCCTCAGCTGGTAAGGGAGGCCAGGAGTGAGCGACAGGCCAGCCGACCAATGGGCCCCCAAGGATGGGCTGGGGCGGGGCCTGCGCTGCCATGGAGGGAGAGAAGTGGTTCTGTGGGGGAGGAGGGGGCGGGTGGGAAGAGGACCTGGAGACTGAGGGGAAGGGAGAGAGCAAACAAAGGGGTCAGGAGGGAAAATACTGCTCTGGCTTCCCGAGGCCCGCCGAGGCTGGGCAGGGGGACTGGGCTGGCGAGAGGCAGGCCGGCCCAGCCAGCTCCTAAATGGTATTGTTTGGAAGGACCGGCTAATTGCAGAGCGCAGCTTGAAGTCTAGTCCGGGGCTCCTCCTGGGTGCTGGCTTCTGAGACTTTGGGGGCTGTCTGGCCACACGGAAACCAAGTCCTATACCTCTGAGTTTGGTGAGGGGGCAGGTTATTGGGGGTGGGGGGGTGGGGGGATGGCCGGAAGCCTGGGTGGGGTCTTAAGGCCAGAGTGTCACCATGAACACCCATCCAGGGGGATGTCACTCAAACCGAGAGCCAATGTTGGGGGTGGGGGGTGGGGGGGGTGCACGTGCTCCCTCAGGTTCCTGCTTTCCTGTGACCCAACTCCCTGGCTTCTCCCACAGGAAAAAATGAAGGGAGACATCAGACAGCTCAACGGAGAGGAGGAGGCCAGCAGGAGGGAGGACTCTATGGTCACCAACGGGGCCTGCAGTGACCAATCCTCCTACTCCAAAGATGCTCCCTCACCCCCCATCCTGGAGGCCATCGGCACCCCGGAGAGCAGAGGTGGCTGAGCCGGCGGGGAGTCGGGTGGTCTCAGATGCTAACTGTCATGACCAGAGCTTCTGAGCCAGCTTGGGAATTTAGGGATAGGGTTTCTGGTCTTCCGTATCATTTGCACATCTCTCCCCAGGAAAGGAAGAGAGACAGCTCTATGAGGATGTAGCGAGAGCCAAACCCATTCCTCCTGTGTCCACAGACCCTCGCCCCCTCTACTTAAAACTCTTTCCTGCTCCAGCTCAGCTGGGACCCTCCAGAAGTTAACACCAAGAGATGGCAGTCCTGTTCCAACAGGGATTATCAACAGCTGAAGCTGGGGGCTTTGGTCCTTCAGCAGTAGGAAAATGTTCCCTTTGAGCTGGGAACAATTGCGATGAAGGGCGGGAACCTCAGGGTGCGTCCCCATCCTCCCTCCCACAAACAGGCTCCTTCCCACAGAGATCCTGACAGGCTGGTTCAATCTCCCTGTGCTGTTGAGAAGCCTTCCAGAAAGCTCCGGTGTTAGTGCAAAAGTTTCCCATTTTCAGGCCGGGCTCTGCAGGAACAGCTAGACGCACGGAGCACTTGAAACGTGGCTGGGGGATGGATTCTGAATGATTGGCTTCAAGGTCGTCAGTGGCCCGTGGATTGCACAGCACCTCTCTGGGGATGCCTTTGATAATCCAGCATTCCCAGAATGCAGTCCCATTAAGAGCCTGTCCCTGTCCCCTGTGGTCCTTTTGCAGAGAGGACTAGAGGCCTCCGCACCTTGAAGACTGCCGCAGGGAACGGCCTGCCACCTCCTCACAACCCTGTTCTTTGCTCCACAGGCCGCAGATCAAGCTCGCGGCTATCCAAGAGGGAAGTCTCCAGCCTGCTACGGTATACTCAGGTACAGCCACGCCTCTCCCTCTCAGGGTTCGGAGCAATCCTCCTTAGCTCTCCTCAAACAAGGAACCCGGGGCTCACCTCATAAGTTTTGTCCAAACATATGCCAGGCCTTTTGAACAGTCTCATATCTAGGACAGCTAAATTTCTATCATGGGGGAGAAAAATGTCTTCCTCATTATAAAGTTACCACTGGATGCTCATCCTCCGGATTTTTGAAGAAAGCAACATTTTCTCTTGACAAAAACCCATGGGATGTTTTCAATAAGAAATTCTCTGTTAGGATCCGTTCTAACTTGGTCCCGGCATGGTTTGAAGATTTGTTACTTTGTGATCTTTTTATGAGCTGTGTCTTAAAGATACTGTTGCTAATTGGAGAAAGTACAAATCGATCTGGGTGACTGAGTCCATTGGAGGTGACTCGTGAATCCATGTGCCAGAAGACCTGCCCCTTCTCTCGTCTTGGCTTTACTCTGGACAGATATAGATGGCCCCCCACTCTGGTTTTGGGGACCGGTTTGTGTGGGTTTTGGTGTGGAGGCCTTGCTTCAAAAGTTCAAACCATCATGTAGGACAGAAAGCATTTGGCTCCTGGTCTGGTCATGGTATCATGGAAGAATCAGGAAGCGTTTCCCTGGAGGGGACTGGTTTCTTTGACCAGTGGAACTTGGCCTGGCCTCTTCCCCAGGCACACCCAAAATTGGTCGAATTCAAGGTAGACAGACGTAGCACGCGCATGCTTGTTCCGTTTTTGTTTTTCTGGATTCCCCTGGGGCTTTATAATTTCATCTTTCCTTCTGGGGTGGCTTGGTAATCTGTACTGACAAACACGGAGGCATTCTAACTTGTCTGTTGCTTGCAAGATGAGACTTCTGTCTAAAGCATAACCTTAGGCACCTTTCCTAACTAGACCTAACATCCCTTTTCATTCCTGAAGGATCTGACAGGTGACGGGGATGAAGAAGATGAGGACGGTGCCGACACACCAGTAATGCCAAAACTCTTCCGGGAAACCAGAACTCGCTCCGAAAGCCCCGCGGTAAGTTCCCCCGGCACTGAGCCGGGAGGCAAAGTTCGTTTGCTTTGGCTCTCCCAGGGAGGCTGGGAAGCAAAGAGGGGACAGATGTTCTGAGATGAGGTTCTTGGGCCGAGTTTCTGTTAGATGATCACTTAATTCTTCTAATCATTCTTGTAATTTCCTGAAAAAAGCCCTGAGTCCTTAAGAGTTTACAGGGGGATCGATATCTTGTTATTTACTGAGTGGAGTCCATCACGGAAATGAATCATTAGAGGCCTTGGTTAGCCCATGAGAGTCCAAACACATACCGTACACCTCACATAGGAATATATTACCCACAGAACCTACTGTGGGATTCTTATTTGTCACACTGCACTGAGACTAGGATTTCAGTAACACAACATGAACTAACAAACATCTGATTTGAACGAGGCCTTCAAAACCTAAATTTGGACCATCTCCATCTTGAGGTATAGTCCTTTGGTAAAGAATCCACTAATTGGCCTTATCTCTTGTTGGAGGGGCCGGTTTTGGTATACATATAGATTTTATTTGCAATCTAAATTTGCAGGTCTTTTGTGTGTGGGGGGGGGTGGGGTGGGGGGACGGACCAGGGTATAAGGAATCAATTTTGGGTTTGAAAGCATAATCCTGGTTATCATACCACCTTGAACCCACAAACAGTTCCTGGGTATGGTGATATCACCTTCTACTTTTACTATCTCCTTCATTCCCTATTGACCGGAGCCTATGACGTGTCCAGGTGTCACAGGGCCGGATGCTTCTGGCCCCTGCCTGCAGGTGCCCGCCTCCAATTCACCCAAGGCCCCGTACTCATATTCTCTTGCTTCCAGGTACGAACTCGAAATAGCAACAATGCTCCCAGACAGGAGAGGCAAAGGGCCTCTCTGCGCTCCAGCCGAGGCCGACAGGGCAGACATCACGTGGACGAGTCCCCAGTGGAGTTCCTGAATACCAGGGTTTGTCCCCCTGAAGCCCAGACCCTTGCCCCCATCTTTACTCAGGAACCTCTTCTGCACCATGCCTGCCTCCTTTCCTCACCTACCTGACTTATAGGATCTTCTTTCCCTGCTGGGTGTGTACTGTACTTCGCTTATGTACTGAGGGTGTCTCTCCTGATGCAACCCTGGATGGAACTGGTGCTGACTGAGTGCTTGAGCCCCACTGATATGCAGCGCAGTCTTGCCCCCAGAGTTGCTTCTTTGACTGTCCTGAACCTGTACAGCCAGTGGGACCCACTCAAAAAGCTAGGCTCTGAGAGCCTTCAACTGGATGCTTTCTTCTCTGTTCTGTCACAAGGCTCACAGGCTTTGACTTCTGCCACCTACCGGATGCCATCTGTCTGCAGAGCCATCCTCACGGGCTTCTCTGCTGTTTTCTGGGAAGCAGTTGGTGACGTCATTGATCCCTGCTCACCAGCCTGCTTGGTTGGGGTCCCAACGATGTGTCCTTCTATCTGCAGTCCCTGAGACGCCGCGCAGCATCAGCAGGCACACCCTGGGCTTCACCTGGCAGCCCCTACCTCACCATCGACCTCACCGATGACGAAGTGACTCCCCAGAGAAGCAGCACCCCATGCAGCGTGGTCCAGGACAGCCAGCTGGAGAACTTGGATGCCTCCCAAGTGGATGCAGAGGGGAGGGAAACGGACAGCCCGGAGTATCAGGTGAGGCAGGTGGGGACTTCCACCAAGGATGGCCAAATACTGAGGGTAGGGAAGAAAACAAGGTTCCCAGGGGCCACTTCCACACATAATTGGGCCCCGCCGACACCCCCAAATTAACTACCCAATGCTAACAGAATACATATTACATATGTACATATGCAAACAGGGTTTATGTAATATAAATTTAGCCATCAGGTGAACTTTGGGTACCACATATTATGCATGTGTATAAGCTGAGTTTTCCAGCACATTTAAATGAATGCAGTTTTTTGTGGAAAAATTAGGTGCCTCGTCTGTTGCGGGGCGGCTTATACTCCAGTATATATGGTACTTTCACCTCATTCTGTGATTTCCTTTAATCTACGGACTATTCCATTGTCATATTTCATTTCCAGATGGTTTGTTAATCACCCACATTGAGCCAAGCCAGACCCTCTTGGGGCCCCTTACACCTTGATTTACTTTCCACCCAGCAGTTTGGATCCCTGGCCCATCGAGAGGCAGGTCCACCGCTGCTTTGCCAAAGCCATGCCATTGCCACGATCTTAGGGCTGGACAGGGATTTCCTTGGGTCCCGGTGATCTAACACCTCACTTCTTTGACTCCTCCAGGATGGGAAGGAATTTGGAATAGGGGACCTCGTGTGGGGAAAGATCAAGGGCTTCTCCTGGTGGCCTGCCATGGTTGTCTCCTGGAGGGTTACCTCCAAGCGCCAGGCTATCGCTGGCATGCGCTGGGTGCAGTGGTTTGGCGATGGCAAATTCTCAGAGGTAAGTCGGCTACTCTGGCTCTGTAGATCCCAGGGGCTTAGTTTTCTTCTCTGGCTTTCGGGTTCTACTGGATGGCACCATGCAGGAGGGGACACTGGACAGGATTGACTAACTCTGAGCATGTCCGCTCAGGAGAGGTTGTGGATACCCCTGGCTAGGTCTGGAGATGGTTTTATGTAAGCATTCTTTGTTGGTCATGAAAACAGTTCTTGCAGAGTTGATGAACTTAGGTTTGATCTATTAATTATTGGTATTGGCCATATTTTAATACCATTTTCTCTGACAAACCTTTAAGAACAGTGCTCTGGATACAAAGGAGGCTGCTTTGATTCTCTTACTGTTTGAGACACATTTGTTATTCCTCCCAAGAATTAGTTAGCTACTAGAAAAGCAGGAGAGAGATGGAAACAAGAAAGATCACCAAGGACATTCCCTAAGATTCAGCATTGTTTTGAGCTAGCTTCCCAATCACTCCAGACTTAATCCAAGGCCCTAGTGGCTAAGAACAAATCTGCAGATGCCCTCTTTGGCCAGCAGAGGGAGGTGGCTGTTTGATAGAATCTTGGCTGCGTGATCTGTCCCAGAGCATCCAGGTTCAGAATGTGGATGATGACTTCTGGGGAAGTGAATGGCATTACACTCTGGCTTAGTGAGACATACGGTCTGATGCTAATAGGATACAGTGTGAGTCTGCTATCATTATGGGATGGAATTGCAATGTGGAGCTGGTCTGTTTCCAAACTGTATTAGGCCCAGCACACCTGTGCTGCCTTAGAACAGAGTCTGTTTTAATTCACAAGATTCCCTTGCCACTTGATCAAGCATTACCTGTGGTTCCAAGAACTATTGACCTCATTTCTTCAGGGGTCAATCAGTGGTAGTGCCCCCTCATGGGAAGGTGGGAGGACAGGGCAAAATGGTTGGACTCCCTGGAGCATGGAACAGCCCCCTCATAGCTCTTTCTGCAATGATGTCCCTTTCAATGACTGTCCCTGACAAGCCAACCACACACATGGCTTGTCCATTTAGGGTAGATGTCCAAGGCTGTAGGATGTGGAATGGGAAAGCTAACACCAACTAATGAGAACCACAAACTGTTAACTCTGGGCCAGGTGCTGCCCACTAAGTCCATTGCATTAACCACCGAAAAAAAAACCGGGACAGTCACTCTTTTAAGGCCTCTTAAGGCCTCACCTCCTCCGTGCTGAGATGGGATAAGCCGGGGGAGGAGCTTGTGCAAAACCACCCTGTTGGGTGTTTCCTCCGAGATTACTAAAATCAGGAGCCCACCCTCCGTGAACAGAGATCACTTGCTCTTAAACATGAACATAATGTAAGTCTGTTCGAGGAATTCTATTCTACATTTGTTCAGAAGGTCACCTTGTCCCCAAGTACACTCAAGGGCCACATTAGTGAGTCATCTCTACAGATGCCTGCCTGCCTTTGCTCCCAGTCCCCTCCCCCATCTTTGGACCGGGTGGCCTGTGAGAGTCGATCTACTGCAGACACCTGCTGTTGGATGATGGTGGTGATGATGGCTTTCTTTCCTAGGTCTCTGCAGACAAGCTGGTGGCCCTGGGGCTATTCAGCCAGCACTTTAACCTGCCCACCTTCAATAAGCTGGTCTCATACAGGAAGGCCATGCACCAAGCCTTGGAGGTAACACTAGTGGGGATGAGGACGTGGCCCCAAGACAGGGTATGGCCACTGCAGGCTTAACTGAGGAGACATGGAGTAAGATGGGCCAGCAAACATAATGGCTTGTTGGTCCTTATAAAGCAATACTCCATTGTGTTAGAAAGACTGAAGGGATTTGAGACTTCCTCCAGCTTCTCAGAATGAAAGAAGGGTGAGGACCTTAAGGAACACCATGTCAGTTAGTTATCTTATAGGGACCTCGTGCAGCTTTGTATGAAGACTAGACTGCTGCGGTGGTCCTGCCCTCTTCGGCCCTTCTCTTTGGTCCACATTGTTCACACTTGTGAGCTGCCATGATTCAGAATTGGAAACCTACAGCGCTGGTACGTGATAGGTGTGCGAACCAACCTATGCCAAGTGGTGCGCATCCTCAAGCCATCGTGGTTCGTCTATTAAATGCCTGTCTTTACATAGGACATAGACAAGAAAGGCAGTGCCTTCCAAAGTCCACGGGTGGTGACAAGGCTAACCCAGAGTTCCCAGTCTGTTGACAATGGTTGAATCCTTCACTGCAGAGAGACTGAGGGGAGATTTACTCCTCCCCCACATGAATGGCCTGACTGCAAGGCCTCTCCCCAGTCCCAATTGTCTGTCATGAAAGGGCCCAGGGTGAGGAAGAACACTGGCCGCAGCTGGGGGGCCCTGGGTCAGACCAGGGACCCATTTCCTTGTGATTGAGAGAGACCAGGCATACCCTTTTTATCTCTGCAGAAAGCCCGGGTTCGAGCTGGCAAGACCTTCCCCGGAGTCCCTGGAGATTCCTTGGAGGACCGGCTGAAGCCCATGCTGGAGTGGGCCCATGGGGGCTTCAAGCCCACTGGCGTGGAGGGCCTCAAACCCAACAGCAAGCAACCAGGTGGGATTGGGTCCCTGGGTCAAAACGTACCACCTGGGAGCAGGCCCAGCAGCAGCCCCCAGCCCAGCTCTCCAGGAGCCAGAGCCGATCCCAGTGCACTGGAGTTGCTATGAACACTGTGCACAGGCATGTGGAGGAGGACCACGCCAGCCCTGCCTGGTGCCCCCCATCACATTGCTGCTAAAAGTACATGCAACTATAGGTGGAGACGTTGCTGGGAGCAGTCTCCGTTATCAGGAGGCCAAGGTTAAATCTTGCCCTTAGTCTAAAACGTGGGAAAAGACCATCTTGAATGAGAAGCCTCCCTCTAGAAAATGGATGCTCCATCATTAAAACTGAATACATGGGGTTTCACACTGTCTCCCGCCTGTGTCGAACAATCTGTATTTAAATGTAGTTTTTTATTTCTGTTTTGTTTTGTCATCTTCCCGCTCAAAAAAAAGTCGTTAATAAGCCGAAGGTGCGTCGCGCAGGCAAAGGAAATTTAGAATCAAGGAAACACGGTATTCCCTTCCCCTGTTTTGTCTACTCACGACTTCTGTGTACTTGCAACTCACCTGCATATTCATTCTCTGGGAAAGAATCAAACTCCCCCCAAAACCCCAACTGACCCTTCTCCATTATACCTCCTGATTCCACCCCTGTCTCTGCCCCTCACGACTGTGGACCCCTGCACCCCACGGTGGATGCTGTTGATACATAAGCTTCCGGACTTTTCTGTACACGGGTGGATTCCTACTTTCCCCTTGATTTATCAATATTAATTGCATATGTACTGTCATGTGTCTTTTGTGTTAAGATTTTTAATGGATGCTTAATTTTCTTTTCTAGGACAAAATAGAATTCATATCACATCACTTAGAATTCACTGTAGAAATTGACACTAGTCAGTGGAATGCTAAATGTGATCCATTTAGAGAAGGCTTTAAAAAATTCCATGAAAAAAAATGGAATCAGATAATAAATTTTTCCCCCCCTCAGTTTTTGTAGCCCCTCCCCACGAATTTCTATCAATGACAATGAAAACAAAAGAAGGAAACAGATTAAATTAACATTTTATTTTTTAAAGTAAACATTATAATATATCCAAAATATTATTATTATTTAATCAATTTACTGGGGGCTCGTACAATTCCTATCACAAGCCATACATCCATCCATTGTGTCAAGCACATATGTACATTTGTTGCCACCATCATTCTCAAAACATTTGCATTCTAATTGAGCTCCCAAATATTATATTTTTACACTAATTTGTGCTTTTATAATTTAGTGCTTAACTCTGTTTATAGAATCAGGGTTGAAAAAGTAGATGGGCATGTCAAAGTTTTCCCAAATGTCCTGAAGTTGTTACAAGGGGCACACTGCATGTGCCCAGTGACAGTGCCTTGGTCACACAGCTCAAGACCACACGGCAGATGTTGTTTCAGAATTTCATTGTGGAGCAAGCTATGTCTTCACATGTTTTGTTATACATGTCAATGTACAACTATACAAATGGGCTACACACAGAAGCGGTTATTTAAAAGCTTTTGATTGACCACTGACACCCAGGATGGACGCAGTGTCATGCCCCCAGGTACAGCTGGTACCAGCCATGGCTTGGGCAGACCGTCTTCCTAGAAAACGATCCCTCCCTTGTCTTTAATGCCCCTTTCATAGAGAACAAGGTTCGGCGACGCACAGGGGACGACTCCACCCCCTCAGACCATGGCCCGCCACCCAAGCGGCTAAAAACCAACTGCTACAATAATGGCAAAGATCGAGGAGAGGAAGATCAGAGTCGAGGTAATTGGTGGGCTGAGGAGGCTGGACCAGGGGTCATCAGGTACAGGGTATCATTCAGCAAGGGGTTCTGCTGGTAACAGTAGCACCCTCCCTGCCTTCACCGTCCCCCCCTTGCCTTTCTCGTTTCAACAGAGCAGATGGTTTCAGATGTTGCAAACAACAAGAGCAGCCTAGAGGGTAAGTGCTATCCCCTCCCCGGCCTTTCCCTTCGTGCACCAGCCAGTGCCCCCAAAGAGGTTGGTGGACGCTGGGTATTTCTGGCCCCTTGAATTGTAAGTGTCTCCTGCACTTCTGAAGCACAAGCTGTGTGATCCAGCCTCATTCTGCTCTTCAGATACGTGAACAGGAATGTTGGGTGTGGGTGAGAAAATAAATCAGAGCCCCACCTCTAGAACCCAAATAAATGTCATCTTGGACCAGGGTTGGAATGAGCTGGGGGCTGAAATGCGCATACCTCCTTGGCATTCCTTATCTCCTCCAGCACCGCTGCTGGGCCCTGATGAAATTGGCCTCTGCATTTGAAACACTTATCTAAATGGATTCACAGATAATGTGCAGGCTCTGGAATGACAGCCACAGGTTGTATTTCTAGGGCTTGGTCGTGCACTGTCAGGTCTTATCATTGTCCTTTGTGTCATTCCTTTGCAAGAATTCTTGGTATCATGGAGAATGCTTGTCTCACTGATAACCCAAGGGTGGAACCCTTAGATAAGTGACATGGCACCCTTTCATCTCAGTTCACATTGGACAACAGAGACAGTGTCCTAGCCATTTGGTACGAGGGCTTGAATTGGCGCACTTTCTCTTACAGATAGCTGCCTGTCATGTGGAAGGAAAAGCACAGCCTCCTCCCACCCTCTTTTTGAGGGCGGGCTCTGCCAGATATGTCGGGTAAGCCCCCGAGGCTCCTGGGCCTTCCTGGCCATTCCTTCCTGCTGTGCCTGCAACCTTAAGGTCCACGGGTGCCACCTTCCGGACTGCTCTGGACTCATGCACGCCAGTCATTTCTGAAGGCAGTTTCTAATGCGGGGAGGGGACCTTGAAGCCAGGCTACATTGCAGCATCTTCAGAGGCATCCGTGGCTCGATTAATACCGTAGCACACTGCTGTCCCTGAATAGGTTCCAGGATGGCTAGCCCCTGGCCTCGTGAGGCAGTATTTTGGGAGACACAGACCTCGCCCCCTGAATGACATCTTTTGCAGCTGCAGGCGGGGCCCTCACAGACAGCCAGGCCGGCACCCTGGCCGCTGGCCCTCATCTTTGCCTTCTCTGACTCACAGGATCGGTTCCTGGAGCTGTTCTACATGTACGACGACGACGGCTACCAGTCCTACTGCACCGTGTGCTGCGAGGGCCGCGAGCTGCTTCTCTGCAGCAACACCAGCTGCAGCCGGTGAGTTGGCTGCGCCTGCGTTCCCATCATGCCGCAGTCCCCTTCGTGCCCAGGCCCTGCCGTCAGTCCATCCCACGAAACCCAACTCCCTCAGGGCTGTTGTTGAGAAAGCTGTCAAGCAGGACAACTGTTACCTCTGATTTGGGTTAGAATATCTTCACAGTAGAAAAACGACTTCATATAAGATATAGGTGTCACTGTAACTCTGAGGAAACAAGAGGCACCTAGGATTTGACTTAGGATTCCTTAAGATTTATTTGGCTTGGTCATGAGAAGAGCTTTTCTGGGTGAAAGGGGATGTAGGCTGGAGCATGGCCATTATAGCCAATGAGCATGGATGCGCACGAGGCTCAAGTCCATTAAAGTGTAACAGGATAGGCCCTGCATGGCCATCTCGGGGAAGACAGCTGTGGACAGCGGCCTGACAGGCCTCACTTGTCACCTGCTGCTGCACAGGTGCTTCTGCGTGGAGTGCCTGGAGGTGCTGGTGGGCGTCGGCACGGCCGAGGAAGCCAAGCTGCAGGAGCCCTGGAGCTGCTACATGTGCCTGCCGCAGCGCTGCCATGGCGTTCTGTGGCGCAGGAAGGACTGGAACGTGCGCCTGCAGGCCTTCTTCACAAGCGACATGGGCCGCGAATACGTAAGCCACCACGCACAGACCCTGACCTGGCGTGGTCTTGTCAGGAGACAGCCGATAGAATCCAATAGATCATGGGATGTCTCAAAGGCCTGCAAACCTGGCACTTGGTACCCCTGGTCCATGATTCAGAGCCCTGGTGTCACCATGGGTCAAGGTCCACCAGAGACAGACAAGGATGTCTCTCTCTCTCTCTTTAATAACTTTATTGGGGGCTCTTACATCTCATAAAAATCTGTACATTCCTCCAATGTGTCCAGTATATTTGCATATGCCGCCATCACCATTTTCAAATCATTCTCTTACCACTTGAGCCCCTGATATCAGCTCCCCATCCCCCCCCCTATGCCCCGCCCGCTCTCCCTCAAGAACCCTTGATAAGTTATAGCTTATTATTCCATATCTTACATAGTCCTCCATCTCCCCTCACCCACTTCAGTCATTTATCCCCCTGGGAGGGGGTTCTAGATTGATCCTTGTGATCTGTTCCCCCTTTTCTCCCTCTCCCTCCCCTAGTCCTCCTGGTATCTGTATTCCCCTTGTTGGCCCCGAGGGGTTTATCTATCCTGCATTCCGTTTGTTGGGTGCTCTTATCTGTAGCAGTGTGCACGCTCTGGTCTAATCCAGTTGATTTGTAAGGTGGAATTGAGGTCATGGTAGTGGGGGGTTAGCACCAAAGAGCTGGAGCACAATTGTGTTTCATCGAAGCTCTGCTGCATCCTGGCGGACTCCTCTCTCCCCCGTGACCCCTCTGTAAGGGGATGTCCAATTGACAGGCAAGAGTGTCTTGATGGTCCTGTAAAAGATGGTCTCAGAAACCAAGAGGAGCGCTTGTGGTACTGTACTGTAGGTGGGGATCAACTCAATGGACATTTCGTTTGAAAGAGGCCAGTCTTCTCTGGGCACAGTTTCTAGATAAGACTGGTCTAGATTGTCCAAGGTTAAGTTCAAGTACATTATGGCTGAAGAGGGAATGCTAGGCCTACTTCTTCATGTCAGATGTGTGGGTTTTTGTGGGTTCCAGTGGAATTGCGGTGTGGAACCCTTGGACATTTCCTGTGCAGCCCCGATAGCCAGGGCATTAGGACTGGTTTGTCCTCAGGTTGCGTTTCCGCCGTGCCTTGAGGCTAAGGTGGTAAAGATCATTCTATTCCTGACCTGACTCTCACCAAGTCAGCTGTACCCATGTGTGGGATGTCTCCACAGTGGAGACTGACCAGGGCACTTGAATTGCTCTGAGGAGAGTTCCCATTCAACCCCACCCCCAAGGAGAGGACTTCATCTTATTCTTCTCCCTTATTTATCTGACCAGGGCTCCTTTCCTCCCCTTACAGGAAGCCCCCAAGGTGTTTCCTGCAATTCCCGCAGCAAGAAGGCAGCCCATTCGAGTCCTGTCTTTGTTTGATGGAATTGCAACGGGTGAGTGGGGTTTCCCTTGTGGGCCTGCTGCCGCCCATCTTCTGATCTTGCACTGCCTTTTCTGAGGCGGAAGCCTGGGAGTGAAATGCCTCTGGTCTAGGTATCTGCAGTCAATGCCAAGAGAAAGAAAGCCTGTGATCACCTGTCCCCAGAAAACGATGTCTCCTGGTTTCGATACACCCACCACCCAGTGGACATAATTGGGGTCAGGCAAAACGGGTTCCTGGTACCCAAAGACTTCCCATACAACCCGTGTGTTTTTCAAAACAACAAGGGAGGCCCTCATTTGACTTGTGCTGGTGCAGTGAAGACATGCTTTCCATTCTTTTGAATGGCCCTTCCTGTTGCTGGTCACAGCACGGTGGCCTCAGGCGAAAATACTAACAGCTCTCGACGATCACCCTCCAAAAGCAACTGGTTGAAAATGGATCATAACACGTGTGTTGACCTAGCAGTCCCACTGCTTTGGAACTTGGCCCGTCTGTTCCGGGTGGAGGTTACTGGTTACTTTTTTGCTGTTCATAACACGGGCCACTGAAGAGCCAGCCCATTTTGTGCCCTCTGTCTCATGTACTGTTTGCTCAATGCTGGGTTTGTTTAGCCATTGGCCAAGCATTTAGTAAACTTGCTTTAATATTCCATAGCCTTGCGCTATGCCTTTTGATGCACACTTAGGCTTTTTATGAAATTCAACAATCTGGCCCCCTTTTCCTGAGTTCAAAGAATAATGCAAGATCAGAATGTGGACACCCCTTCTGTCTGTAGTGGGATGGAAGGTCTTAGCCAATGTGTATGGGGAAGGCTGGTCAGGATGACTCAAGTAATTCTTTGTGGCTTTTCTGTTCTCTCCCCTGCCCCCACCCCCACTTCCCACAGGGTACCTGGTCCTCAAGGATTTGGGCATCAAAATAGAGAAGTACGTAGCTTCAGAAGTGTGTGAAGAGTCCATTGCTGTTGGAACCGTTAAGCATGAAGGGAATATCAAATACGTGAATGATGTCAGGAACATTACAAAGAGAAATGTGAGGGCCATTCCACCCCCTGGGGCTCTCCACTGTCCCTAATTCTGCCTCACCCATTCCTCCGCACACTGCCCGGGGTCCGTACAGCTTTGTGCCCAGGGTTGTGGCGATGCTTGGAGCAAACATGTCAATAATTTACAAGGATATGGACATTTAAGTATTTTCTAGAAGCAGGTAGTGTTGCTAGACCAAACCATATTGTAGAAACAGTTCTTGTTGCTGATTTATGTGAAACCAGGCTCTTTGGTCCTACCCACCCGCCCCCTCCCGCTCCCCCCCACCTGACCTCAACGAAAGCCTTTCCTCAAGGATGTCAAATTCTCTCTCTCAGATTGAGGAATGGGGCCCTTTTGACTTGGTGATTGGTGGTAGCCCATGCAACGATCTCTCAAATGTGAACCCTGCCCGAAAAGGCTTATACGGTAAGCATGCCTGATTTTGCGGGTTCCCAGTAGACAGGTTAGCTCAGAGTTTATCTAGATGAACCGGCACCACAAAGGTCTTTGCTCTTCGTGAAAGACCGCACATAACCTGGTATCTTTATCTGCTCCCTATTGTGAATAAGCAATCCTGCTTTATTACCGGGGACATGGGTTACATGAACACATGAGTCCCAGGATCAGGGGAACATTAGGTACCCATTGGCTTTGTGTTGAGGGTAATACAGAAATAAGAAGTACTGACCTCAATTTGAATCCCGCTCTGTCATGTTCTTAGAGGGCACGGGCCGGCTCTTCTTTGAGTTCTACCACTTGCTGAATTATGCTCGGCCCAAGGAGGGGGATGATCGACCCTTCTTCTGGATGTTTGAGAATGTTGTGGCCATGAAGGTTGGGGACAAGAGAGACATCTCGAGATTCCTAGAGGTAAGGGGACTTAGGAACCTACATATTAAAGCCATTGAAGAGGCTTGGGGATCCTGTCTGGATTCTTGATCAAGAATGTGAGACAATTAGATGGTGTTATTGGAATCTCTTTATTCTTTATTGGGAATCTCAGATGAAAATAAGTTCATCTCTAGCCATGGCTCTAATCAAATAAAGTTTCCAAAGCCAAACCCATTGCCTTCTTGTTGATAATGACACAGAAACCTTCCAATACAAGGTTCCTTGCTCTATAGGGTTCCAAGTGGAATACTGCACAGGTAGTTGACTGCCTGTGGAGCAGCAGGTGGACTAGCCCCTGCCCCACCAGTGACCCCGGCGTCTTCTGATGCGTTGGAGGGGGCGAGACCATCTCCGCGTGGGGGCTCTTGGTTTCAGAGGATCTTTGCCCATTGTTCTGAGAGCTGTCTTGTAGGGCTTCAGAGACGTTACAGACGGCGCTCCATGTGAGTCCCAGACTCCACACCCACAACTGAAAGTTCAGTTCCATCTTGCTGACCATGTCCCTCATGCTGCGAGGCCACGCAGTAGCTGTTTGGCCGTCCCCCTGGTGGACTCTCAGGTCTCTTCTCACCCCCTTTCCCGGCAGTGTAACCCCGTGATGATCGACGCCATCAAAGTGTCAGCTGCTCACAGGGCCCGCTACTTCTGGGGCAACCTACCCGGGATGAACAGGTAACGAGGGTGTGTGAGCAGGACAAAGCCTGTGGACTGGTCATGAGGCAGTAAGCAAGAGCCGGTAAATGGAGCTAATGGCATCCTGCTCTCTCCTGGCTTGTCAGAGCCAAGATAACCTGGAGTGATGAGCAAACGCTCCTGAAAAAGGCGGCTTGCTTCAGGTGCAGTGTATCTCAGGAGGATAGGGAACACCCAACTTGTGGCCCATAGGCCAGGGTGCCTTTTTCTCTTGAGGTTCAGCAAACGACCTGCCTCTTCAACTTCATTGAAAACTGGTTGTTCCCTCCCCACGCTGCGCATTCTCAGATCCTTTCTTGAGGATAGGTAGTAGGAAATGGGAGTAGATCTTTAGAAATAACTTAGTCTACCCCTGCGATGATGCAACCCCCGGACCAGGTCTGCGGGACTAACCTGGTGGCAGAGCTAAGTTGACAAATAGTAAGCCTGAAACATACCACCTGCCGAATCTAGTTTTCTCAAAACCAGGTGCTCGCCCCAATATTTTTTAAAGATGTCAATGGTAGTTTTAGACCTTGAACACCATGAAAGACACAGAGCAAGTAGCAATGCCCTTTATGTGGTTTCAGGATTAATGACCTCCTAATTAAGGCACAGATATGATGTTAATACTGTGTCTCAAATGTGCAAAATTCAGTTTTCCTTTAGAAAGAAGCTTAATTATTTAATGGACAGAGGTGACACAGGTCCACGAACTGTGCAGAGGATCAGAGTTTTAACCGGTTTGATCTGTAGGTTCCATGGTGGGGTGGCCACAGTGACAGCATTTCAATGAGTTGAAAGTTTGTAATCTTGTCGCAAGCCCAGCCACTAGTGTATGTGCTACTAGTGTCGTGGAGTGTGTTCCTGGCTAGGCTGTTGGAGTTGTTACACTGATCAGGGATTCTATGCTGATCAGGAAATCCGTCAGCAGGGTTGTCAAGGCACCTTGTTGCAACATAGTCCTAAATGAAATTACCCAAGGAAGCGGTTTCCTCACAATAAAGGCTTCTGGAGGCCAGCATAGTGAACAGGATTCCTGGGCTGGCGACTGACCATGCCAAAGGCCAGAACCCTTAGAACTTACAATGGATGGATATATGGATTGTGGTGAGAGTTCTACGTGCCCCCAATAAAATGATGTTAAAAATATTTATCTTTATGACGTTACCTAGGCTATTTAAGACAATAAGTGTGTATCCACAAAGTAATAAGAATTTTGAAAAGCCCTTAGAAGTGAGGAAGGGGACAAAAGGTGAGACCTGGCACCATAGGCCCTCATTTAGCTTTTTGGAAGGCCGACACAGGCAGGGAGTTAGGTTAGGAGAGGGAGATTCAGGAAGCAGGATAAGAACAGAAATCAATGAAGGGTCAGTTTGTTCAAACCAGGAAATGATTGAGTCTGTACCCCATCAAACAGAGCAAAATGTGCGTGGTGATCCCTGAGCCCTACAGGCGGTAAGAGCGAACAGATTTAAGCTATTTTGACAACCATATTGTGGTCTGTGATGGCTGGGTTCTACTGGGTTGGCAATAGGATGTCGTTGACTGCGTGAACAGTCTAGGGAATGATTTATGACCCCACAAGCCTTCTGATGTGGCAAGTTCTTTTCCCATCTGACCTCCAAGCTTCTTAAGTAGAGGTTGCCCAGGCTGTTTAGCAACCCCACACCTTCCTACCTCTTGTCCTTTTCCCCGATTCTCCCCACTGTGCTTTGTTGGCCCTTCCCTCTGCCAACTGTTTGCTCTCCAGCATTTGCCAAGTTAAAATCGATGGCGTCAACAACATCTTCTCGTTCCTTCCTTCCTACTCCTTTTCATTTCTTCAAGCTACCCAAGGCTGCCTCCTGAGCAGGAAGATCCAACAGCCAAATCCTTGATTGGAAGTACAGGTGATATCCAGTAGATCCCCAAAGATGCATTCTTCAACAGGACCCACAGAGGGGATTTACCTCAGCTAGGAAGTAGCTAGGCTGAGACCCGAGGGGACTTCTGCTGTCCCACTCAGTGTAACACGAAGCTTTTGCTTTCCTTGATGGAACCAAGTGCTTCTGACCTTGGGCAGCACCCCTCCGCCCCCCTCCAAGGCCATCATCCACTGGCTTGGGGGTGTGGCCATAGTTCTCAGTTACGGTCACCTCCAGTCTCAGGGCACACTTTGGGATCTCAACATTGGAAAATGCCTACCTGAGGCCCCTGTGCCAATGGTCAAAAGTAATGGGTTTTGGCTGTTCCCAGGCCTGTGATAGCATCAAAGAACGATAAACTCGAGCTGCAGGACTGCTTGGAGTTCAATAGGACCGCAAAGGTAAGAAGTGCTCCACACCACCGTCCTCTGGGACTCACCCTTGGCGGTGACCTCCAACTGGGACTCGTGGCTCCTGCCCCTCTACAACCCAAACCCATGGTGCTGGGTCTATCCCTACACATCACTCTGTCCCTCTATCTATATCTTCAAGGACCTAGGGAAGCAAGGGAGATTCTAATGAGCCAATGATCATAATGAAAGGGCAGTTCTCCATGCCAGCTAAGGTGTATACAAAGTGCAAGGAATAAAAAAAAAAAAGAAATCAGATTAAACAAAAACTTTCATAAACCTTCTCATCAGGCTAAGCTCCCTCGTCCAAGCTCCATCTGTTCTCGGTGATTTGTTGAATTACACTAACTCTTGCTTGGTCACTTACTCTGTCTTTTGGCCCCAGTATGGTATATCCTTCGTGGTGCCTCACCGCTACCCCATCCTGAACGTTTGAAAGTCTCCTTCTCTGACGCTGACGCTGTTCACCTCTTGGCGTTTGTGGGAAGCACGAAATGTTCTTTTCCGTCCACCACTTGCCTGCTTCCCCTCCCCTGCTGCCCAGCAGCGTCGCGAGGTGCCTCTGAGCCTCGGCCAGCCCGGACCGCGCTGCTCTCCCCGCTCACTCCGTGTTGTTGTTTTGTTCTCCAGTTAAAGAAAGTACAGACAATAACCACCAAGTCGAACTCGATCAGACAGGGGAAAAACCAACTTTTCCCTGTTGTCATGAATGGCAAAGAAGATGTTTTGTGGTGCACTGAGCTAGAAAGGTGAGCAAGGCTGACCCAAGAGGGGAAACTGGTGCCGCCAAGGCAGAAAGGGGGACCAAAAGGAAGGTGCTTATTCACCAGGGTTGAGAGTGAATACTTCTTCAGGGTGTTAATTTCCTGCTAGAACTGGTAGGTAATGAGGATGGCTGTGGGGTGGGGGCAGTTGAAAAATGAGGTCATTAGACGGCACCATCTGTCTGGCTTCACTGCCATGGCATCTGCCTGCCCCTACTTGCTAGGAGGAACCAGTTAAAGCCACGCCAACATGCCATTGCTCGAAAGATTCCTTAGGCCACGTGTCTGCCCAATCTTGGTTGTCCCATCTCTCTTCTCCCTCTCCCCCGTATTTGGTGGTTTGAACGAGTGCTTTCTCTGGATTCGCCGTATGTTCTTAACACTTCTCCCTCTTTCCGTGTGTTTTTTGGGGTGGGGGTGGGGCTGGTATTAGAAACAAAGTTGTTTAAGGTTTAAATTTCCTCCCCATGGCTTTGGTCTTTCAGGTCTACCCCTAGTTTTATTTCCTGGATTTCTAGTTACCATGAAAATTGTGATTTTTTTTTTTAGAATAGTGAATTGATGGTAACTTTGCCTGATCCCTTCACCTGATGAGTTATTTCGTATTTTGAGACTCAGTTCTACTGCAGTGGGATAAGCCTGTGTGGTAGAGGATGGTGGTGCGAGTGGCTGTGTGAATATGCACCTATTGGGTCAAAGCAAGGGAGACAAGCCCAAAGTGTTATTCTTTTTTTTTTTTAATTTGGGTGCATTGGTTTTATCATTACTTTCTTTTTAAAAGTCATTTGTTTTAGCTTTAAAATTTATTATTTATTTATTTATTAAAACATTTTATT